CCTTAGAAAGGGACATGATGCTTGGAAGGGTAGAAGGTAGCAATGGAGAGGAATACCCTCTACCAGGTGGACTGATATAATGATCCGGAGTGGCCTCTATTGTGTCAGGAAGTATGAAGATGGCACAGAACAGGACAGGATAGATCCGTTGTTCATAGGGTCACTATAAGTCATATTTGTCTCGACAGCACCTAACAACAGAAAACATAATCATGTAGACAATTTATAATTGAGAAAGGTTTATGGGAGCAGATGGGAATCTTGGAATGAAATGAGTCTTGTGCAAGACAGAATAGATGGATATTGAGAAAGAGGAGCAGCAGCAGAGAGCCAGAGTCCTGTAAGAGGCAGAGCCCACTGCAGCTCCACATAGACAGAACGAGAGGCCTTTGCTGAAGCTTGCTGGACGATTAACAGGATTGGCAGGACTAATTTCGCTTCAACTTCATCTCATATACTTTGGGTACATTGTCAGGAGGGATTAGTGTTTGGAAAAATCATCACACACAGAAAGGTAGAAGGCCATGACCTTCAACAAGGTGGACTGACAGTGTGGCTATAACAATGGAATAGCGTATATCAGTGTTTATGCGGATAGCTCAGGATAAGGCAAGGTTCAGATCTTTTTGTCATGGGTTGCTAGAAGGGTCAGTTCTGAGTTGGTACCAACTCAGTGGACCATATTTCCAACCTGAATTGTAGACTGTTAACTTTCCCATTAAATCCCATAATTATAAATATGGCTGAGTTTTGTGCTGCTATTGCAGCATGTTACTGGACCTACCAGCAGAGCAGTAAGAGCCATAGAAGGGATGTTTGGTGTTAGAAGGGGTAGGATTGTGGAGGTATGTGACCTCATATAAATTTGTTATATACTGATAATGTTGTAAATGGTGATTGTAGATTGTAGATTGACTCTCCTTGTAGAGTCAGTGGAGGTCAGATGTGGATGCTTACACACTGCCTGCATTCTGTTTTACACAGGTATACAGGATGAAGCAGAGTTCAGAGCTGTTGCAGTGTTGCTATGAGTCAGAGTTGATTTGGCCACACATAACAACAGTTAAAAACTATTCAGACAATGCATATGTGAATTTAAAACATTACAAATTATGATGAATATTATGAAAGAAATAAAAAAATAATCTAAGTATCTAAGGTATGTGGTTCAAAGTCATAAGCTGCTCTGGAGGAGAAATATAGGCAATCTCCTCCTGTGTGATTTAAAGTTTCTGAAAACCCACTGGAGAGTCAGCTATGAGTCGGTACTGACTTGCTAGTACACAGAAAGTGAATTTTAATGCAGAGCCTTGAAAATAATAAAGATACAGTTATCCCAAGAGCAAGATAGGAAAGCAGTCTGGATAAAACAATAGTAATGCAAAAGTCCAGAGGTGATAAGGAGCTTGGGTTATTCTAGGAAATGTAACCAGTGTGACTAGACCCTAACGTGTCAGGCAGATGCAGACAAGGAACAAGTTTTTGTTGTTATTTTGTTTTTTCAAATTCCAAGAACAAAATTAGTTTCAAGTAGAAAAGTAATTAATATGATTACACTTTAAGTTTAAAACATGATTCTAGATGATTTGTGAAGACTTGTTTTAAGGAGATCAAGAGAAACACATAATGCTCTGTTGATTTAAGTTATTTCAACATTTTCCAGAATATGAAATACAGAAATAAACTTTGCCCTCTTATCAACAAATATGAAGGATGTACTAACTTCTTTCTCTGACCATTTTAGCATTGTTCATTATTTTCTAGCTAGGTATTTATTTAATCTGATTCTATTTGATAATTATTGGATTGAGCATCATTTACTATCCAGAAAAAATGTCCTGATATCTTATTTGAGCAACTAAATGAGCAATGAGATCCTTCACTGAGATTGTTGTTGTTCAGTGCTGCCAAGCAAGCTATGACTGATAGGAGTACAATGAACAGATATGAACCTTGCCCTTCCCTGCTCCATCCCTGTCATCTCTGATATGCTTGATTGAGCCCACTGTTACAGTCAATGAACCAAATAATCTTGTTGAGGGTCTTCCTCTCTTTCTCTGATCTTCCAACTTTCCTGGCATGATTTCTTTTTCCAAGGACTTAGACCCTCCTGACAACAAGTCTTAACTATGTGAGATAAACTCATCATCTTTGCCTCTGAAGAGAATCCTAACTGCACTTTCTCCAAGAAAGACCTGTTGGTTCCTTTGGCAGTCAGTGAGATTTTCAGTACTCTTCTCCAACACCACTATGACTATATGTGTGTGTGTGTTTTATTTACTTATTTGTACACAGTATTTATTTAGTTGACTACTTCATAATTATTATTCATAACTAGCATTGGGAAAATCTGCTGTTATGGATCTCTCCAGCATGCTGAAAAGCAATGACATCAGTCTAGATACAAAGGTGAGCCTATCCAAGACATGGTCTTCTCAATTACTTGTTATGCTTCAGAGAGTTGGACAATGACTAAGGATGACAGAAGAATAGATACCTTTGAGTTGTGGTGCTGGAGAAGGGTCTTGAACATACCATGGACTGCCAGGAAAACAAATAGGACTGTCTTGGAAAGGGTGTAACCAAGTCTTTCCTTGGAGGCTAGGATTTTAAACTCTGCCTCACTTATTTTGGGCATGTGGCCAGGAGAGACTGGTCCTTGGAGAAGGACATCATGCTCAGAAGGGTGGATGGACAGTGCAGGAGAGGGAGACTCCGGATGAGATGGATTGATACAGTAACTGGGGTGATGGGAGTTGGTGTGTCAGAATTAGTGAGACTGGCTCAGGACAGGGAAGGGTTCAGAGCTGCTGTAAATAGGGTCGCTATGCATCGCAGGTGACTCAATGGCACATAACAACATACGAGAGGTTTGGAAAAAGGAGTGGCATCCACTTCCTAAATAACATGCCTCCAGAAACTCTATGAACTTTGATAAATGTCGATAGTTGTAGAGGGACTTCAGGCCATTTGTTCATAGGTTCGCTATGAGTCATGCTCTACTCAAAGGCAATCAAGAACAACTTCATAATTGACTAGCTCTCTTCCTATATTATCTAGGTTACCACTCTCCTTACTTTCCTTTTCAGGCTATCCCATTACTAATTCTGAGACTTGGAATGTGACTTGCACAAGGTTCCACCAATGGTCTTTTTTATTTATTGTTCCAAGCTTGAGGAGTAGGAGGTTAAAGACAAAATCTAACCAAATAAAGAAGGAAAAAGCATTTTAAGTTGCTCTTTTCCCATCATTATACCTCCTCTATGCACAAGCTATAACTTAAGTACTGATTTAGAGTTTTTACGCTATAATCTTGAGAGTTAAGCATCCGCCTTTCTCCTGCACTCCTGAGCACCTGTCTTTAAGTTCACAGACAAGCACAAACTATTTGCTTCACCTAGAGGTCATTGTGAATTAGAATTGACTAGATGAAACTGGTTTTCAGAGTTTGTTTTAAAAATCCTCGGGAAACAGATCAGGCCTCTCATCTGTGGGGCTGCTGGATGAGTTTTAAGTAGCAAGACCCAAAGTCAGTCAGAGCTTTTTGCTACTGAAAAATGGCTCCAAGGCAAAGTCATGCAAACTCAGTGTTTCAATGACATCATATATTTACTATTTTTAAGTCTCTAATTCCAAAATCTGTTAGGCTTCAGTTCAAGTAAATAAAGTCAAACGACTTACTTTAAAATTGTGTTGGTAGAGGGAACTCGTGTTTGCTGTAATGCTCAACACTGTGATACTGATGTGCCAAATGCGATAATGGTTACCCATGGTGGACAGTGTTTGGTGGCGCTCCCGGCTAAAACAAGCTTGGAAGCAGGAATGGCATCCACTTCCGAAATAGCTTGCCTCCGGAAAACAGTCCTCAGGTCTTTCATTCATAGGGTCGGCTTTAAGTTGTCTATGAATCCAGGGCACTTAAAAATAACAACAGCAGCACAATAGAAAGATTCCTGGTAGTGCAGAGCACTGGATTTCCAACTAAAAGATCGACATTTCAAACTCACCTGTGGGAGAAGATAGCCTTACAAACTCTTATGGTTTCTATCGGGTGACAGTGAGTTGGACACAGTGGGAGTTAGCACAACATAGACAATATTGTTTGAATTTTATCACACATAAGTAGTATTATTTGCCTTGGAGACACTTAGGCAAATTCTTGATTTAAAAATGGCTTTAATCTGGGTCTTTGAATGTCTCGAAAAGTGACAATATTAATCATGGCCACTGTAATGATAAAATAAAAAATTATCAGAGTGCTTGCTCTCCATTCAACCCATACTTTACTATAATCTATAACGGTAAGTACAACGTATGCCAAATTACAGTTTGTACTTTATCTGTGTTAGAATTTTGTTACATCAAAATATTAACTTCTTGTCGTGAGCGCTTCGCTCCTGCAGTATTACTTAAGTTGAACACACTGACCAGCTAGCTCTTTATTACCTCCTTTATCCTCTTACAGTGTCAGGGTCTAGTTTAAATAATGGCATCTGCTTCAAATCTTGTCACACCTCAGTTCAGCTCCGGGCTAAAATTGAGAAGCATTGAAAAAACACAGCCCTTCGATTCGCTGCCAGCCGAAGACAAAGTGGGGCCATGACATCGTTCACAAAACAAAGAGAAAACCCGCAGTTTCAATCATTCCCGCCGCCTCCTAAAGGACCAACCACAGTCTTTGTTCACGCAGTTTGCGTCACTTCCGTTCGCGCGTTTTGATCGTGTCAGTGCTGCAGCTCTCGCGGTATCATCGGCTCCTAGGTCTTAGGAACAAAGGTCTCGCGAAATTTGTCCTATAGGTTTAAGAAAGCTTCTCACTGCCCCCTCTCCCTTTACTCTACCCTCACAGTCTGGCCTTCCTTCAGTTTCTCAGTCGTAAACTTCTCTCCTCCCCTCCCTCGGGCCAGTCGCCCCCCCCATTTCCGATTTTAGACCGGATTCGGAAGTAGAGTGGGCGGGGCGGGGCGGTGGAAAACGCAGCAGAGCCAGAGCCGGGACACGGCTGTGGCCGCTGCTGCTGTCCCCGCCACGGATCGCCACGCAGTGGGGCAGTACGGCTCCAGACTGAAGGTCGATCAGGAGGTGGGTGGGCGCGGGTCTCCCCCGGTGTGTCCGGGTGGCAGCCTCCCGGGGCCCCCCGGGCACCGCCAGGGATCATGTCTACAGCCTCTGCCGCCTCCTCTTCCTCCTCGTCTTCGGCCGGTGAGATGATCGAAGCCCCCTCCCAGGTCCTCAACTTTGAAGAAATTGATTATAAGGAGATCGAGGTGGAAGAGGTGAGCAAGGCCGGAGTAGCCCGTCCCTGCCTTTATCCGCACCATATTCTGAAAGGCACCTGTCCAGCGGGGTCGACCCCAGAGACACAGCCCCTCAGAGACAGGGTAGGGGGAGACGTTGCTCAGCTACTCTAGGGTAATTCTCATTTCCTCACTTTGACACTCTTTGAATTTGATTCTCCGGTGTCTGGATTTGGGTCATTTCGAATACGTTGAGATGGTGGTGATATGGGATCCATCAGGTCTCATTTCTCTAAGCAGTAAATTCTGCCAACATTGTGGCCGGTTTGGAATTTCAATTCTCTGGACATTTGAGTTTTTCAGAAGCTAAAGATGACATTATACTCGATTCAGTTGTCAGTACCTTTATGTAGGTGGTTACTTAACTGAATGCCTGTGAAAATGGTAACATCAAATCGAATGTAGTGTCAACCCCAGGTACTGAATGGCTCTGTTTTGTCCATTCCATAGAGCCGTACTCATGGTGTTTATTAAGTATTCTACCTTCAGCTGGGCTAATTTAGAATTCTTCATTAGTAATGCACGCCAATTTGCTAAGATGAAAGAAAACATACTTCAAGTAGCATATTCTGAAGAGAGAGACAATTCGTAATCTCTACATCAGTTACAGTATATCATCAGGCTAAAAATTGCTGTTAGAAAGTCTGAATAGATTCTGGAGTTAGGAGTTATTTGAAATAGATTAGAACAGGATAGTTCAGTGTACGTCATAAAAGTATAAAATTTTAGGAGACAGCATGATAAAACTAGTAAGAATAAATGGCTGAATTAAAAGATTTTTTAAAAATTACTTTAACAATCTAATGGCCAATTTTAATTCACCAGTTACTCTGGGAGAAAGATGGGCATACAGTTTACTGCCTCTGGAAACAGACTGGAGAGTCAGCTATGGGTTGGTACTGACTCAGCCACAGTTGTTTGAGATGTTTAAGAACTACCTTACTTTTCAAATAAGGTAACATAGAGGGAAATATATCCAATATGCCACATTAACTGTAATTCAGAACAAGTTTCCTAACAAACCCTCTTGAACTTTGGTATTATTATTAGCTGTAAAATAAGGTAATGATTTTTATCTCATTTTATTTATGTATCAGATCCTATTAGGTAGTGTGTGTGAAACACGTAGAACAGTGCCTGACACAGATTAGTAGGAATCTAAGTTCCAGAGGGGAAACAGTGACCCATCTTAAGGTCAGGTGGCTAAAAAAAAAAGGTGTGTGTGTTTTGAAATGAAAAGAGGAGAGATTGTGTGTCTGTGTGTGTGTGTGTGTATGAGTGTGTGTTTTTTTCTCTTGAGTCTATGGTAAATTCCTTTTTCAGAAGTGGATAGTTAATCCAGCTTTCATAATTAACATTCTTTTTTAAGAATAAAAATTCAGTGAGTCAGTATTCAAGAATTGCAGTTTTTAAATAAGCGTTTACGTCTACTCTGTGGTAATTGGCTATGTTTATAGACTACAAATTGTTATATAATAATAACTTTGCTTTATGGTCTACCACATTCTTTCACAGATTTATTTTCATTGGATTCCTACAGCTACCTTAATTCTGTACTTTAATTTTAAAAGTTCTTACATTCTTCTTTTACGAGAGAATGGAAGTTACTAAGACATTCTTTATTATTTTGCTGCACTTGCCTTCTAAGACCTTTGACTTCTAATTAGAATTTTATGTTCCCAAATCCTACCTTCAGTTTAGACAATATTTCAGTCCTCCTTTTGTATGTATAGACTGTTTGTAGAAGTAGAATTTTGTCTTTTAATGAAAAATAATAGGCAGTTATTTTGGTTTTGTTTACTTTTAATTTTCTAATACTCAGTTTATTTTGTATTAAATAGGGCTTTTATATGCATTTGAGGCCATTGCATAATTTCCATTATATTCTTCATTTGCACATTCTAAAACAGTGTTATATAAATCCAAGGTACTCTATGGGCACTCAATAATTGTTCCTCAACTTTGATTTCATTTCTAGTAAAAATCATAATAAAAATGGTCAAAACCAAAAGAATTTCATTGATTTTTATGTAAATATTATATTCTCTATTTCTCAAAAGACAACATTATGTGAACAGTGTTGTTGAGCAAAGTGCATAGCATCTCTGTGAACAACAGATCTGAATCCTGACCTATCCTGTCCCATTTTCATCATCTCTGATATGCTTGAGCTAGAGCTATAAACTATTAAAAAATGCCAGCCATAGGCCAGATATGCAGTCATTTGGTAGACATACATTTCTAAGATACCAGCTAATTTTAATCCTTACATTCCTAATATTATAACTCTGTAATATTAGTTTGACATTCCTTTAACTCAATTCTGGGATTTTTTTCCCCTCCTTGTGTCCCCCCCCCCTTTTGTTTTAGACTGATTTATTTGCAAAGTTTGTATTCAGTGGTTTTCACACCAGATCTTTCCCATTGCCTTCATGCCTCCCCCCCCCAATAGTGCAACCCTGCTATTAAATTATGTATACTCTGAAGGTTAGAAATCTAAGTACAAAAAAAAACCACACACAAACTCATTTAGTTTTTATCATTCTTAATCCAGATGTGGAGAATGTTAGAATTAATTGTAAGAGATAAACTTTGTGGATGAGGTTACTAGAAGTGGTAAAGGCAATGTAGTGTAGAGAAAAGTATAGATACCTTTTGATTCTGGTACAGTATATTTCTGTAACATTGAGTAAGTCACCTCATTTGTCCTGGACTTCTGATTCTTCATGTAAAATTTGAACCAGATCATTTTAAAGTCTCGTCTGGTTCTAAAATGGAAATGTAATCATTGTTTCCAGCAATTATGCTGTTTCCTCAGTAAGCTTAGATGTTCTTTGAGGACAGCTATGATCTTCTGTGGGTTGTAGTTGGTGACCAACTAATCCTGGATAACTAGGGCTAATGTTATTTTATGTAATGTTGCTTTACAGATATGAGCACGTGGTAGTAGAATTGGCTTTGCCAGATGTCACATGCCTGAGTAAAGAGTAGAGCTGAGTATTGAATTTGAGATTTTTCACTTCTGAGTCAGTTGCTCTTTCCACTGGATTTACAGTGTTGTTCTAGTTTCTTTTGAGGTAATCTATAACCAGACTTTACTCTGGGAATGAATAAACAAATGTATGAGAGTATTTGGCTCCTGATAGTTAATGGACTTTCTTCTTGGTGTGCAGTACTGCTAAGGTACTGTAGAAGATGCATGATTCTCTCCTTTAAATATTTGACTTTTTATGACAGTAGGACAAACACAAAACAGGTTTTAAATTACTTGTTTAGAACAAGAAATTTGAAATTAAAGATAATGAAAATTGAGTATTTACGTCAATTTAATTAGTGGGGAAGAAGTTTTGAATAAAGTGAGTATCACAAATTAAGAGAAGCATTAAGATGAAATTAGTCTTTGTTGTTCTGCTGACTAAAACACTCTTTCTCCAGAGCTGCTTATGGTTGATTCCCTTGCACTTATTCAGTTTCCACCTCAAATATTACCTTAGAGAAGTTGTCCCTAAGCAGTCTAGATCTTTGTCCATTTACTCAGACTAGTAACTAAATGTGTCCAGTGTGCCTTTATAGTGGAACATAAGATACTTTGTTCACAGTTATAACTCAAGATTTAGTAACTAAAAATTTCTCTATTTGTTGAATGGGTAGAATTTCTCATATCTCATAACATAATTGTGAGACTTTAGCAACCATCTAATTCTCTTAGATTACTAAAGGGACTGTGATGGATGAGCTGTGTAATTTGGTTAGGACATCTTTTACAGTAGAAAGATCTGATTCTCATTTCTGTGATGATTCTATTACACTCCTGTGTATTTCACAAATACTTTTGATTCAGACTCAAAGTCATTGCTTGCAAGTCAGAATTAATTCATAGCTAACCCTCCAGCAGGTTTTCAGGAGACTTAAGTCACTTGGGAGGAGATTGCCCATTTGTCCTCAGAAGCTGCTAGAAGATTCAAATTGACAGAGAGGGAGGGCTTTTGGGTTAGTAATGCAACTCCCTACAGACTAGACTACCAGAGCTCCCTATTGACTGGAGGTTGTTGTTATATGCCTTCAAGTCAGAACTCGCTTATAACTGACTCTCCAGTGAGTTTTTGAAGGCTATAAAGTACATTGCCCATCTTCTCCCACAGAGCAGCTGGTGGATTTGAACCACATGCTTTTGGCTTAGAAGCACAACTTTACCTGTTGATTGGCAGGGTTAGATGGACCTTTATTAGAGTACTAAAAAAGATGCTATTTGGTGTGGTTATTTTTTAAAAAGGAACTCCACAGTGTTGACCTGTATAGCATATATAGCAACTCAGATACAGCATATTTGCAATGCTACCTGTCTTGAACACATTTAATAACAGAAGCATTTATGTATGTTTTTAGGCTTCATTAAGTATGCATAGATTTTGTTTTATATGATAATATACATTCAAAACTCAATGCTGTTAAATTGGTCTGACTCATGATGGCACTCCAGTGAGTTTCAGTGAAGTAAATCTTACTAGAAGAGACTGCCCATTTTTCTTCCAGGGAGCTGCTAGTGGATTGGAATGGCTACATATGTTCAGCCTCTGGAATATCAATGCAACATGCTATGGATTTATGCCACCAGAGCTCCTAAAATACACTTCCTCCTCTCATTGCTGTTGAGTACAAACTAACTCATAGCTGATGCTCCATTGGATTTCCACCATTGTAAGTCACACAGGAAGAGTTGCCTAGCTTTCTTCCAGGGACCTTTAGGTGGATTCAAACTGCCAGAGAGGCTCTGCTTGTATGATAGTAGCATAATTCCCGACAAACTCTGCCACTAGGAAGGAGAAATAGAAATAAGAACATTGACAGTGATACGTGTTTTGTATGGTTAGATTATAAGTGTGTGACCAACTTAAAATAGACGAAAAGCCCAATATATAGTTAATTATCAATAAGCTCTTCTATGTGAGACGTAGTAACCGTTTCCAGCAGACATCTGT